AGAGAGTTTTATCAAAATTACTGATATACCCATATTTGAACTTCCCACATTTTTCATAGAAGCAGAGAACCTTAAAAAAAACTAAAGTCATCATCAGCAATTAATGATATCAATTTGCCAAAAAAAGAAAGTAAAGTGCATATTTATTTTAATGTTTTGGAAAAAGAATCAGATAGATAATTGTGATCAATTAATAGTTCTTTAGATTTTATGATTTTTTTTTTTATTTAGTGAGAAATCTTCAGGCATCCAAATAACTTAAGCTAGGGCGATAAGGTCCGCCACGCTTCTGGACCAAGAAATTTTTCAAGAAATTGGATTCTTTCGTCAAAAAGTCTGTATTATCTTGTCAAGGCACTTCTCTAACACTCTGATAAAATCATCTGCATCTGAATGTTTCCATTATTAATTACAAATTTCACACTCGACCGCATTTCAATTACGCGTCAATCATCAAGATCAGATTGATTCGATCAACATCAAGTGATCGAGATTTATTTGCGTCAATGAAACTATATAAATTTATTGTATTCGCAAATCTGCATACACAATATTGGTTCGAGTTGTGCAATTGTTAATTGTGTATTCGATGCACAATTATCGGTTCGTATATTTTATCATCAAGTTGCAGATCGGACAACACGTATATCGGACGGAACTCCTCCAGACGTCCGGACAGAGGTTACTATTTACGTGATCGGACCATAATATAACGATAATGGCAAGGATTTAGTGAAATACAATGAAATAATGGAGTTTTTTCCTCAAAATGTTTCCCCAAGTACTAAAAATGTGGCGGCATAATAGCTCAGTCGGTAGCTTCATGTCTGAGATCACGGTTCGAATCCCTTCGCTGGCATGGAATTGTCTTCAAATTTGAATTAGAATAGAAATTAGAAGTAAGAAAAAAAGCAAAATTTGCAATGTATAAATTAAGATTTATAAGAAAAAGAAGAATCAATAATCCAGTTGTAAATAAACAAATACAGAATTTGAATAGATACTAATATAGATTTTTTTTATTTACATTTGTGAATTACAATCTGTCGTTTTTAAACTATATTCAGTAATTTTGATGGTTTATTAAATAAAGGTAAAAAAGGTCGAAAGGTCACCCATTGGTGGTCGATTTGATTTTGAATATGTTTAGCTTTTAGATGTAGTCCTATTGTGAAAATATTTAATTAAGCCTACGAGTAATCATACATATTATAGGATTAATAAATAATATCAAAAATGAGCCGTTTTCTTCTGAGCCGTTCAATGCCATGGTTTTTTATTAAGTTTTTGGCCATGATGTCAGGGTGGTTCTGAATTCTATCCTTGTATCTCAGACTGAACTTTTCAATTTCTTCCTTAACAGTGTTAATGTTCAGATCTGTATGAACCAACCAATTTGGGATATATTTCGATGCGTTTATAATTTCTTTCAAAATCTTGTTTTGAAATCTTTGTATTATGGCGGTGTTGGATTTGCGTACCGTTCCCCAGATATGTATTCCGTACGTCCAAATTGGTTTCAACATGACTTTGTACATAAGAAGTTTGTTGCATGTGCTGAACTGAGATTTTCGGTTTAACAACCAGTACAGTTTTGTTTTCGTGATTTCCAGCTTTTGGCGTTTCTTTTGAATATGGTATTTCCATGTTAGTTTGGCATCGAAATATTATAGAATATGAAAATAAAATGAAATGTTGTAGGTGGCTAAAGATAAGGTAAGCGAGGCCCCTAAAAAGAGTACTGAAAATCTGCCTGAACTAATCATATTCTTAAAAATAGGGATAACTAATACTCAACCTAGAAGTAATTATCCTCGAAACATCTGATAACAGGAGAATTTAGATAATTTATTGTATAAATACTTTATGAATTCTTTATGTTTAGAGTAGCAAATAAAGACTTAAAGCAGCATAATTGTGTAATTTTACTAATGTTTTTTTTATTCATTTATTCCTACAATATGTAATAATATTCCACTGAGTAGCTCCAAAAAAACTTAAAAATTCTATTCTTAAAATACAATTAAAATGAATGCATAATGTAAAATATTAATCGTAAGTAATTATAAAAGCTAATTTAATATGAATGAATATAACATGCAATTTGATATCAGTAATTTGTACATATGTTAATTAATTGTTTTAGTAATTAAATGAGATAAAATTAGAAAGATGTACTACAGACAAATTTGAAGGGCCGTTTGTGAAGAGATTTTTGTATGATAAAAAATAGCTAAACTATTGCTAAAATTGATATTAAATTATACTACATTAAATTGTGCTAGCATATTATGATATTAGTATCTAAACCGCGTTCAAGAAAAGTTTGATATGATAACAATTATCTATCTGATTTTTTTTCCAAAACATTAAGTTAAATACACACTCTCCCTGCCTTTTTTGGTAAATTGATTTATTATATCATTAATGATGTCTTTAGTTTTTCTTAAGGAAAAAGTTTTTATTCCCCATGTGTCTCTATGTCCTGAATCTAACTATAATTTATATGTCTATTTTTATCAATAATATTAATCTATTATAATTTTTTCTAGATACCAATTGTGACTTTAAGTGCAGTGAGTGACTTAGTGCAAAGCATTGCTCTAGGATTCAATTCGGGAGCAACTCTTAACAGGGGAGGTCGAAATGGGGCTCACGGTTCAATTGCGAATGTGCACAAACATTATGCCCTTATCAAATCTGCACCCTTGAAGAAAAATCAAACCGCAGCTGCTGCTTAGACTGACTATTTTTTAGAATTTTAGATAAAACGTTATCATTTAGATTTTCATAAAAAATAGTATCGATAACATCATTGTTAATTAATTTTCTATATGTTATTGAAAATCGAAAGATATGAATCAATTTAATTGATAACATTATTTTTTATTATTTTGTATCAAAATTTTGTTTTATTTTGAAAAAGATAAAAAATTTAGTTGAGAATTGAGATTTTAGTTTAAGTGCTTATCTTTTGTCTATTTACATATATTACTATCTTGATTGCATTTATTACAAAATATCTATTGCGAATTAATATTTTATTTTGTACAATTAATATAATATAGGCTACTAAATCTGTTAAATCTGCACATATCTACATACTTTATGTATTTCATACTAATTTAAATATTTGTTATGCTTGGGATTCCATTTCAAAATTTTATGCAAAAAGTTATCAGGATATCAATACAATTAAAAGTTGTCTAACTAACATAAACTATGGTTATAATTGTATTAATTTATATGTTATTCACAGTGCATTTATTATAAGATAATTGTTTAATACTCATTATTCAACTTTCCAATCATTCTTACTATTTAGTAACGAAAATGAATAACGATTCAATTTAGTATTGTTATTCACTGTAAATATCCTCGGTTGTAATATAAAATTAATTTTTGTAAATTTTGTCACAACTGAAATTAAAAATTTAACAAATTGATAAAACATTTTTCTGTGATTTTAAATATATTTTAAGGAATTTGTTGTTGTGGCAGAGATTTTATAGAGAATAAATGCTCTAGAGAATATGAATATCGATTTGCAATTGTTAAATACGCCTGAAGCGTTTTCATAAAAAAGTAGTTTTATAAGAATAATAATAATAAGATGTTCAGTTGTTATAACATTTTTATTTCGATTTACTAATTTTGCATTGTTTATAATTTTATTATATGTAGCTAATATTTTTTTAAATTTATTAGCATTAGTAACATTATTATCTGTAATCGGTTTTAAAAATTATTTGCAAAATATTACTAATAATTATTAATATTGAATGAACTGTGGACCAAACCATACAGATGTAAAGGTAGTATCTTTTTGAAATCGCAGCTTTCATTAGAATTCTAAGAGAAATTTCTTTTAACTTAAGGCAATATATTACTCTTGCCTTCGATTGATATCCCAACTGACGTCTATATAAATACAATATGTTAATTATTAGGATAGGAACTGTTTATATAAGTATGTAAGTTATTCTAAAAGTAAGTGTACAATAAAAGTATATTTTTTATATGATACTGTTTTATTTTGATCAAAGTTCGTTGCCTGTGAAGCAAAATAAAATTTATGACCGGTTCAACAAAGTAATTAACACGTCCAAGTTTCACGTTACTACAGCATTGAATTAAAATTTTCCAGAATAAAATTACGATAATCTTACTCTTTGTAAATATATATATATATATATATATATATATATATATATATATATATATCAATTTAGAAGTATGAACAAATAACACTCTTTTTTTACACTAATTTACTAAATAATAATTTCACAAAAGTTTCGAGACTAGGTTTGTCTCATCATCAGTGTGTTATAATTTAAAATCTAAAATATGGAAACCTATATTAGCATTATGTGTTGTCAAACAGTCAGGGTAGTTTATTTTTCATGAAATTATCTGATCCTTAAAAATAATCGATAATTTATGATTCTTATTTAATAATTCAAGAATGATGTACATAATGTGTTATATTTCAAACCAGAAATCCAAAAAAGAAAACTATTTATTATAAAAACACTATTTATAACAACGTTTCGCAACTATCAAGGTTACATATTCAGATCATCACAAAATCATCTATCATTAGAAATAAAACAAGACACATATTTTATGGAATGAATAAAGAGATTATTTAAAAAATATAGAAACTAAATAAAATGTTAAAATGGCAAAAGCATAAAACAAGATCTATTTATATGCATGACTAATATAAAAACCACTAATATACCACTAAACAAATTATTTAGTAAATATTTATTTCGTGCAATAATAGTTAAAAATATATTATTTAGTAATTTATCTTATTTATGACATAAAATTAAAATTAAGTTTTTAAATTAAAATAATAAGTAATTAAATTAAAATTAATTTTACAATTAGGTTTGTAAACCCTATTGAAGATAATCTTACGACCTTTTGACGATAAATGCACAAGAATTTAGTCATAACAGTTATCTAGAATCCTCTGTCGATATTGTACTAGTTAAATTTCAAGTTCATGTTTTGACAAATGATTCAGTATGTAATGGAATAACATATGATTCATTTGTGCATTTATTAACTAGTAATATTTAATCATTTTTATAATTTGATCTATAAAAGACAAGGTATTTAAACAGTATAAATTATTCGCAATTATTAGTAATAAAATATTTTTCAAAAATTTATATAAAATTCTAGGTGAATTAAAATGAGTGCTCTCAAGATAATTTTACTGTTTGCGTTATTGGGAACAACATTTGGATCTGTGAATATAGTGAATGATTTTAGAATAGAGTTATCTGAAAATTCTGAATCACAAAATGAAGAAACTGAAATACCAAAATATAGTTTAAGATCTATTTATAATAAAGCAAAGTCGTATGTGCCAAGTCCATCTTTCTTCATTGTAAGTATTAATTTATTTATTTAAAAAAAATATATTCACTTTTAGTAACTTTTTGCAATCACTTCAGATATTAATTGTGTATCTAAATATGAAATATTTGTTAAAAATAATGATATAAAAATATTGGTTCCAAAGTATTTTCAGCGATAATCATATGCTACTACGATTATAGTATCAAAATGCTTTATTAAATTTTCAGATTATTTTATAAAATATCATATATATTTTAACTTTCAAAGGTACCCAAAAGCTTTCTCCAGTTTTGATAACTTTTTAACTAAAAAAATTTGATTGTTGCATTTAATAATGGTCAGTTATAGTAAATTAAAATTAATTTTTATGATAATTTTATGGTTTATTTTTAATAATTTGCGCAATCTATTTTCTCAGCCAAAAATATCATTAAAAAATGGGACTCTTTCTTATGATTGGGGTTTATTGCACATGACCGGTTCCTTAAGTCGCCCAACAGAAGCTCCAAAAACATTAAGCGAATTCACGCCAGAAAGTTCTTCTCAATTACCAGAAACAACTTACGATTACCTTAGATCTTTGCAAGCAAATCCTCTAATTTCTAATGCAATTCAAAGATCAAAATCAATAGCAGAAAATGTTGACAATCAAGATGGATCTTTATCTTCGAAAAGTATTGAAGACTACTATAATGAAATAATTCATGGAATTATTATTCGCCAAAATGCCGAGGAGCAATTAAGCTCTTCTGATGTAAGTGTGAAACCTGTAGATACCCAAAAAGGTCAACACCAGGGCTTACCTACCCCTGAAAAAATTCATCCTTCGCAATCTCCTGAGTCAATTGTCAGTCTAGCCAAAGCAATGATTTCTAAAGCAGAACAATTATTAAAAAATATTGAAACATCTACGATTCCACCCAGAAGAGATCAAGTTCAAAACCAACCATCACATGATGTGACTAATGTTGATGCGAGATCTGTTCTGGAAAGAGATCCTATAGTTCCAATAACTGAATTCACTATTGATCCAGAAACTCCAAGTGAATCAGATTTGAGTCCAAGACATATTGACTTCGATGTGTCATCTTTGGAAGAAACATCTTCAGCTTCTGGATATTTGGTAGAAACTTTAGACCAACCCAACATAAGGCCTGCCAATTTCTATCCATTGAGAAAATCTGACGAAAATCAGGAACCAGCTGTTAATAATGCAGGTTTATATTTAAAAATATAATTAGTTGTTGTCATTTTAATTCCAACTAGAATCCTCCTAGAAACTTTACATGTTTTTTCAAAAAATAATTGGTTCTCAAAATAACATTAATATTTTTTTATATTTATTGCTAAATTTTAAAAATTCGCTCTAGAGCTTCGTTCAAAGCCCGACAACGAGCAGAATAAAGACGGCATCTTGGATAAAATTGTCAGGAATAAACATGTAAAAAATCAGGATCTAGATGTATGTTATGATCTAGTTAAATAGTTCAATGGTTTGTACTAATTTACTTCTTTTGTATCTTTTTATTTTCAGTTTTGGAAAGCTGAGAATTACTTAGGCCAAACTCTTGGAAGGCCTTTGTTTAACTATTTAATGGACCACGATATGATGTGATTAGAATTCTTGTTCATGAAGCGGTACTAAATTATTCATTAAGATAAGGATAATCAAATTATACAAAATATGAAATATTGTAATATGTCATACAATAACAGTAAGAATAAAGTTGTCATAAAACAAAAATACACAAAATTGTTTTTATAATAATTTTATATATCTTTTTTTTTACTTTTTCAGAAACTATGGATAATTTTAACGAATAACAGTTTTCAAAAATTTCTAAATATGAAATGTGTAACTTTAGTAAAACATAAATGTATTATGAAAGAAATGTATAAAATATGATGTGTTATTATATAGCAGTATATAATAGTCTTATTATTAGGATTTTTGTTTTTTGATCATAGAATACATGAATTCAGATAAAACAGCTTCACTTAACAGATATAACTTATTTTAAAGATCGTAATTTATGTGTAAGCATTGTGTAAGTTAGTTTTAAAGAATTCATTAGGTTGATATTACCTAGAAGGTCTTAATATCATGAAGTCATTATATCTGGATTTTACTATATATATATATATATATATATATATATATATATATATATATATATATATATCATAGATAAACAAGTATAAATAATATATCTATCTATATATTATATATATATATATATATATATATATATATATATATATATATATATATAAAATATAGAGTAAATATAACATTTAGCGAAAGCTTCAACCGATTTACAACCTGTCTCAGCATTTTCAGGTAGATGTCTGCACGATTTACCTGTCGTTTACTTCTAATGCATATATATATATATATATATATATATATATAAATATATATATATATATATATATATATGTGTGTATATAAATTAGCCGCTGTCTTTTATTTAATTAAATTAAAATATAATTTAAAAAGATAGTTAACATAATAATGTTAATAACTATTCTTATTATCGCCCAGTACTGAATTCAGTAAATCGTGTCAGGATGAATAAAACAAAAAAAGCTAAAATATTTTTTCTAGAAATTTAATTAATAACATAACACCAAAATATAAAATTAAAAAATAAAATAATATAAAATTAGAAAATGTTGATAGTTTGCATTGGGAAATGATAGATATGTAGATGAGCATCTTGGTTTCATAGAACATTAATTAGGTTTTATTATATATAATATTATTATTATAATATTTTTTGTTATATTTTAGTATTTTTCTATTTTATGAAAAATGTTTTAATTTTTCATGTTTTGTTCTCTCTGGTATGAAAAGCTGAATTATAACATATATCAGGTATAGAAAAATATAAATATCTGAAAATTGTTATAATAATTTAATTTTCAACAAATTGATTGCCTCATATAACAAATATGTATCAACGTCGAAACAATTGAATATATTTTAATCATAGATGAATATATACTTCCCTGAGAAGCACAGCATACATCATTCATCATCCATTTGATTTTAACTCTTTAGATTTTTTTTAATGAATATAATATTTTATAGAAAAAGCCATGTGTAATTTACCACATACTTCATTCACTTTGACCAAATTTGGTCAAATTCTTTTTCCACACTAGTCAAAGAATAATAGTTTTGAAATAAAAAACAAATACCTGATTAAATTAATTTAATACGATTTTTTATTTTAATATTATTGGTGCTATTATTAAATTGTTATGTTATGCCACATAGTACTTAATTAAATAATATGAAGAAATATATAGATATCATATTACTCGAAAATGCATCTGTTGCATATGGACCGCAAAATACTATTTAAGAAGGACTGAAAATGGTCAGATTTTTTATACCGTTTCCTGATAAATATTTGTTGCGCAATGTTCCTAAATAAAATATATAAGAAATATGATATTTTTTTCCAAAATCCACATTCAATTTAAAATAGGTATGTATATAAAATAAATGTTCTTCTAAACTTATGGAAGGTAAATAATATGCCGCACCTGCTACGAGTTAGGAGCATCAGATATTGTCCACGAAATTATTAAAATTGACCAAAATTGAATGAAATATAAACAATCAATTTCAGAAATATAAAAAGTTCATCATCTCCGATTCTGAATAATAAATTGTGTTAATAACGTTTTTTATGTGCCGATATACCTTTACAACATAAGTAATTCTATCCATAGTGCTATATTGTCAACATACCCTTATAGAAACACAATATAAATATAAAAACGTGGGTAAAATTTTAAAGGGACAATACACATTAAAAAATATCAATAGAAAAAACCCTTTTCGCAAGTATTCTTTTTTATAACTGAACACCCCCATATAAAAAATATGCATTTGATATTTTTACCCTTTTTTGTCGGATGTTCTTTAAGAAAATATTTACAGGTAACGTTACATGTGCAATTGTACTTTATTACTTAGTTGTTGTATTTTTTTAAAGTTTTATTGAAATTTTTGTTTACGGTATAAAAATTAATATATTGCATGCATAAATATTTAAATGCATTTATACTTAAAGCTCATCACAGCTCTCACAGCTCATCTATCACAGCTTTGAGTAGATTTGATAAAAAAAAATTTCATTATATTTATTATTTATAGCGATTATAAATCCTGTTTATATAAATTTTTAGCGATTATAAATCCTGTTTAATGATTTTTTTTTTGATATTCTAGCAAAAATTGTGTATAACATATTGTTTAATGATAAAGAATGACTTGGTTAAAAATTTAATGTACATACATATTAATAAGTTGTTGTGAATTACTTTAAGTTTTAAATTTTTTATGTCAATTTGTATGTTGCATTAAACAATAGATTTATGTGAAACTTTTGAAATGAGAAAAAAAAACTTTTGTATTATTTTTATTTTATTACCAGAAAATTCATGCAAAAACTAAATTATTACGCAAAATTAGTTCACTCTCTGTAGAATTTTTATATAAAATAAATATTATGAACCTACGTTAACAGGTTATAGAAACTAAATTAATCAAAATAAACCAATTTTATTACATTTTTGTGTGTTTCATTTTCAAATTAATTTTTAAGATAAAAAGGTTTCTAAAATGGGGTTGCTTGGGTTATAAAAATTTCATATAAAATATTTTTGAATGAATATTTTGAAACAAACATTCAAGATAAGTTGTACAAATTCAATTACATGTAATTAATAAACTACATTAATTATAATTATATATGATATAATAAATTTTCATATATTATATAATATTATATATCATATTATGTAATATGGTTTCATATACAATTTAATTTTCGTAATATGAAGTTATACATATAATAAGGTAATTTTGGATAAAATGTTTGTATACATTATCTATGAATGAATATTATCTCTTATACAAAATAATATGCAATTACCGACGTTATTTAATTATGATATAATTGCATATTCAAGAAGAAATATACCAAACAGTATTATAAACTCATATGAACTATTTATGATTGATTTATGAAATCATATGAACTATTTATAAATGATTTCTGAATACAATGTTCATTGTTAAAAGCTAAAATTAAAATGGATTTTTTTTAAATATACCTAAAACTACCGAACTTTGCTTCATATAAATTATTTATGAGTGTATGGGTTTAATATTCAATTAAATTTTCGCAATCACTGGTTCTAAATTTACATATTTTATTACATCAAGTTTGGAAATTTTTGTATGAAATCTGTTTTCAGTTATGTTGTACACATATTTATTTTAGATAATAAATTGCTGGATGTTGACAAATTTATGCCAACAATATATTTTACTCTTTTATTTAATTATTTCCTGATTATTTTATAAATTTACACATTTGTATGAGTTTGCTTCATTTATGCACGTTTATCAATCTTCTACCTTTGCTAAGAAATACATTTAACACGGTTTAAATTGTCCAGTCTCGTTTATTGCCTGTTCTCATAATATGAAACCAAAAGTTGCCCCTTCGTTTTCCATTCAAAATGCGATCAGAGCGGCCGCCAAACATTTCGTCATGCCGAAATTAAAACACCATAAACATTTCGCTGTCGAAAAAGTGAAAGAAAGGAAAAACATCACGAATCGCCACATCGTCATCACATCACGTCGGTCTTCCGAGTTGATTTTATTTAAAAAACATTTTGAAAGCAAAAATATATGACCGTGACCGACAAGATTTCACCTTCACCTTGAGCCCTTTGTAGGATTTCGGTGTTGAAACTTTGCACTTTGGTCGGATAGAATATTCTTTATAGATATAAATAATTGACATTCGGCAAAATCGAGAGATAGACCAATTCTTCAAATTTAAAGATAATTAATTTACTATCAATTTAAATCAATAAATTACTTATTTATATAAATTGATTTTACACAAGAAACAAGCTTTTTAATGTAGAAACATGTATGATAGTGCATTTTTATCGTGTTAGTTATATCAATTCAAGCTATTTAAATATGATGATGTTTAAATATAATGTTATGTACGGGGTGTCCCAGAACTCAACGCCAAACCGAAACGTGGTAATAGTATCGAACGTAATAGTCAAATCTAAAAATCTCGCGGTTTTGGAAATTGTGAGCTTTTAAGGGCCACCAAGAACCATAGTGAAATTGTGACCATTTTTCGATTATTGTTGTTGATTTTTATTACATTTATTCATTCAAACTTTGGATCCGTAATCGTAAATAACATTTCTACGACCACAGTAAAAAATAATGACAAAATTGCCCCAATTTTTCAAGAAAAAATTTGAAGCCAAAACATAGTTAAACTAGCCCGCATGTCACATTATAATTATATTTACTATAAATTTTACAGTTATATTTGCATATGATATAAGAACCTAATTATTCGGTGATGCTGCTCTTTAATGAAATTTATGTCAAGTCTAATAAAATTAGAACAATTTAAATCTAATTTAGAAAAATTTGTCACGAATGGAAATTTTGGGTACAATTTTTCAGTATACAAAAATATTTGTTTTATAAAGTTCAAAGTATTATGATTAATATTTACACTGAAATAGTCGTCATCGTTTGCACCAAAAATCATGAATCGATTTGAAAATTT